TATTAATATTTGTTAATTTATAATTTTTATAATATTGATATTTATTAATTTACAATATTCTAAATGTTTATTTCATTTTATTTGATCTCGTTATAAATATGAATATCGGTTTATTGATTTTCATAGGAGCTTTGCTCTAAGGACACTTAATTAACGATTCGATATTATTAAATTGTAAGCTTGTTCGAGAATTCATCAGTTACGCTCACACCTAAATGCTCAGCGCAATTTAAGCTTGTCGTGACACGGTGTTGTGAAAAGTAAAAGGTTTAACGGAATTTAACTGACGTTTTTGCAAATATTGTACAATAAGCAGAGACAATCATGCCGTATTTGGAGAAAGGAACGTGTAACTTATGAAACTTATACATTTTCACAGCACTATGAGTGGTTTGGTTATTATGCATATTCTTTTAAATGGTGTTTCCCAGCTTGAGCAATTAAGCCTTGAAGGATCTGCCGAATTTCTTAAAGTCAAACTATTCCACCGAACTTGCCCTCCATGTGTTTACAAGACAACCATAATCATGTACAAGCAGCTACTAACAAACAGTAGTACTAGTAAATATAAAAACTTCTTAATTACCGTTCGTTCACTGCGAAATTACGCTACAAAGTTAAACACATTTTACACGATCTTAACAATACCAACGATGCAACTATAAAAATTAGAAAATTACAAAATTACTTACTTTTGAGTACTCTGACATAGAAAATAATATGAAAATAAAAAAAAAATGTGAAATAACGCACATGGAGGGCAATCACGTGAAAATTAGAGCACTTTGACAAAAAACGAAATCAAAATTGGAGAAAAGTAGAATAACGTATATAGAGAGCAATCACGTGAAAATTTCTGCACTCGACGTCCGAAATTCAGTCAAACGAAAAACGCAAAAATTAACTTGCAACGAAACTGAAAAAATATCAGCACAAAAGAGAGAGATAGATCCTTCAAGCGTTGATCAACCCTCTCGTTTCATATCGACTCGTCTCTCACGAGTAAAAATACAATCCTTCTCTCTCTCTGTTGGCCCGCGAGTGTTCTGGCTGTTTTTCTTCTTTTTTTTAAAAAAAAAAAGAACGAACCGCGCGAAACATGTCTCGTTTCACACACACACTTTTCTTCCGGTCATTACGGCATATTGACATTTTTATTCTAAAATTTGCTCCTTTGTGCGCGCCCCTTGTGATCCTGTCCCTTCCTAGGCCACGATGCTGAAGAAGACCAAGGGTAAAATGAAACGGCGTAACACAGAGTCCAGCATGCAGCTGGCACTTCAGGCCGCGCCCTCGAACGATCCAGAGCCTGAGGTCTTTTGAGTGACCGAATATTATTGCCCGTGCAAGCGGAACGAGGATGTCACCACACAAGTATCACGTACTATTTGCACGCGTAAGCGGCACGGTTCTAGCACAACAACACGCAACATACGAAATCGGCCTCGAAATTCGTCTGTCTGAAAACGACCACACGCACTATACTGTTTTCTTTTTTTCTGGTCCACGCTCTCTACGAAGATGTACTTCGGGATAAAATTGCGTATTGCACAAATTTCAACCGAAACACACGTATTATACCACATGTACACACCTACACTTAGGACACACACATACACACGCGAGTACAACCTGTCTCTACGATCAGAAACGCAAGGGGAGCTCCTCCAGAAGAAGAAAAATATATATAGAGAAAGAAGATGCGGGGAAAACATGTCAGGATCAACTATATATATACACGAACCGAAGAATTGAGAGAACGAAGAGAAACAATGACGAAGAAGAATTAAAAGAAGAACGAAACGAAGAGATGTATAAACCAGGACAAAAAAAAAAAAAACGCTCGTCTATGGACAACTTCATTTTCGAACTCAAGTAAATATCTTTAATGTCCTTTTCCGAGTTGCTAGGAATGAAAACTAGATCTCATTTTTAAATGTTAATAATCATTATATAGCATTGTACGTAGCTTCGATCGATATTTTTTTAGTAAAACGAGACAAAGAAAAAGATGATACAAAGAAAGACGAGAGAAAATTCTGCGAACGAGGTGAATGTGAACGAGTGTGTACGTTTGTGTGCATTTGCAACGAGAGAGAGTGTGTGTGTGTGTGTATGCGTGAGGAAGAGAATCGCGAAGAATGAAAGAAAAGGGGTTATAACGTGATAAAAGGGTAGTGAAAATCACGAGATAACGTTACCAAGGTAAAAAGCAGCAGTATTGAACGAAAAGTTTCTCCCCCCCGACCCCAACCCTCGTTTATTCGCTTCGACAGCCATACTTGCGCATTTACGTTGTATAGTTGGTTATTTAGTCCCGGTAAAGCAGCGATTTGGAGAAATGTGAACCGTAATTGTACAATGACGTTTCGTATGGTATTTTACTAAACCACAAGTAAGTATGATAAATACCAATGGTCCCGTAATCACACGAATACCGAATACATAAAAGATCAGTTGT